TTTCAAGCTGTCACTACAATAGGGATGAATATGTACCTCAGAGCTGGTACAGGATACTCTGCACCAGTTCTGAAGGACAATTTTGTGACTAAATGAACAACAACAAAAAGTCACATGGGATTTAAGAGTACTGGTGTTTCTTCTGAAGCAGCTTGAGATCAGGGGTCAGGGAAAAGGGTTTAGAAGGCAGCAAACAGACAAGGCAATGCCACATGTGTATGTTATAGGAATGTCTGACAAAGCTCTAAGTACCTGATGTGCCAGGGTGAGCCGCGTGTTTTATGTACTGACTAACATCTACATGCTCAACGTTGCTGATTTGCCAGGGGAAGTTTAGGTTGGAAATGAGGAGACATTTCTTCTCAGAGAGAGTAGCCAGGCACTGGGATGGGTTGCCCAGGGAGGTGGTGGAGTCACCGTCCCTGGGGGTGCTCAAGGAGAGGTTGGACGCAGTGCTTGGGGACACGGTTCAGTGGGTGACACTGGTGGTAGGGGTGTGGTTGGACCAGGTGATCTTGGAGGGCTTTTCCAACCTTAATGACTCTATGATTCTATGATTCTGAAACACAGCATCTGACAACTCAGAACACTCAAGCAAAAACCAAAGGGCCCAAGCTGGGCACAATTTTAAATACCAATGAAGGGCCCATGGATGATCAATAAATATAGATTTTTGAATGGGTTTAGCATGATTTTTGAAAATTATCTGTGTAATTGCTACACTGTTGAAAACAAAATCTTTAACTTATTACTGTTATGGCCTATCAGCGTACAGGAATTCAATTACTGCCCAGTTACTTGGGAGCACTGATGGTACTGTTCAAGAACTGAACGGGTTCAGATTGCCTGCATTCTTGTCATTATGCAGGAATTTTTAGCTTGTTTCAAAAAAATCCTCTTTTGAGCTTCAACTTACTAACTGAACAGCAATTAAAATTGAAATGTCAAATTCAGGCAGAAATATTGAGCAAGTTTAAGATCCTATAAAGACATTCATCTACACCTGTAATTCAGCATATGGTATCTTACACAGCTCAATATTTCAAACTAAGCATTTAATCAGAATTACAGGCATGAGACATGATAAAGCTCTTAGAATTGATCATATTTAAGATTTTATGAATTGTATGTATTTGCTCTGGACAAAATACCCCAAGCCCTAGAAATCCTGTCCATCAAGTATCCCATTCAGAAAACAATCTAACCTTTCTCACACAGTTTTCAGCTGCCTGTGCTTGCTGAACACCTACTTGCCAGTGCCTCTCCCCCCTGGTAGCCACATGCATTCTCAAATACAGCCTGGACACCAGCTTCTTGGTACACTGAGGAGGCAAAAAATGTCTTGTCGCTCCATCTGATTTAGGAATAAATAAATAAAAAAGGTTGGAACTCCCCTGTAAGCCCAGGAGTCACCATGATGGACATGGTGAGACTGCAGCCCTCTAATCCAAAATATCTGTCATTCTTCAAATTGCTTGTGGGGAAGTATCCAACTGAGAGAACAAATTGTCCGGAGCCGCAAAAAATTACATATAGCAAAATCCTCCTGGAAGAAACCAAATGAAAAATGTAGGCAACATTATACAGTATTAGCTTCCTCAATTTAGACAGAGGAAAGCTGGGAAAGGTCCAAGACAACACCAATAAAACAGTCAATGATGGTTTGACAGCACTTTGTATAGAACCCGGGAACAGCAAATTGTTGCAGCGTAAAGTTTTATTCCTTCCTCAGCAGGAATTAGAGGAGTGCCTTGTAAAAGAACGAAGAGTCCTGTAGGATGCACTTCTTGCTGGGTTTGATTTGATCTATTGGGAGTCTGAGTGCTGGAGGTTTTCAACCACGAACGTTTTTCACTGATCTATAACAGAATGCTTTGAAGTCCCTTTCATGTCAGCTACATAAAGATGTTTTCCAAATTAATCTTTCAACTTGGGACAGAAATAATGGAAAGAGTTAGTTCCACTGGAATGCTCCCTTACACAAAACATTAAAAAGCAGATGTTAGCTTTACCTTTTCAGGAAAGAATTACACTTAGCACACTTGAACAATGAATCTACTAACTCATTTACTCTTGTAGCTGCTCTAAGGAAGGAAATGGGATTAAGTATAATGAGACCCTTAGTGAAAGACATTCTGTGGTCTTTAACCTGATAAAATCAGGTTAAAATACCACTGTTTCCTTGGGAACCTCTTGTCTGACAGAACTGGAAAAGAACAGAAAAAAAAAAAGTATTAAAAAGCTTGCATTATTAACCCTGCTGGTATCAGTACATGTAGATAACTCATAGAAGCCACCAGAAGAAAGTACCTTTGATATATGAAAGGGGGGCATTTTCAGTTGTAGATTATACAATAGAAGAACAATTCTGACAGAAGAATGTAAAACAGGAATGTGAGTCTGGCTTTTCTGAGGATAGCAGTGTATTCAGAATGGGAGCTGAAATGAAGAGGAAGGGCAGGTACCTGGAGATGTGACCCATGAAAGCAAAGGCCAGGGTCTGTAGACATTTTACTGTTGAGGGGATTACGAATGAATGTTCTTTAAAAATAAATTTCAGAAACGATCATACTACATAATAATAATTTGTCTTGCTGGTTGATTGTACATTATTATTGACACAATTACTCTGGAGTAGGTAGAGAAGTTTGCTCTGAGCGTATTTTCATCAATATGTCATCTGGGTAATGTAAATAGCAGGAGCAGCTTGGGACAATTCTGTGCAAGTTGACGGGAACATGAACAAATAATGTTTCTTTTTAATTGCAGGAAAATGTGAGGAATGATAGGTGGAGCTGATGAGAAAAAAAAAAAAGAGAAGGTAGCAGCATAGAAAGGTCAAGCAGAGCCATTTCTTCAGTGAGTCACAGGATGCTCTGAATCTGCTCTATCCTTTCAAAGCAAATAACTAGATATTATATGGGGATTACAGTTCCCGTCCCTGGATTTGTTTATAGTTACATGTTTAGTGATATAGGATTTAGTGGGAACAGGGCAAATACCAAAGAGAAAAGAAAGCTCTTGAAATTCTGTGGTCATGTTGAGAGGAAGTACTTGTAATTTGAGGATGGAAAATCAGAGGCATGTTGAAATGATTTCAGAAGCAGAGACTATAAATCCAGGAAGTTCAGAGGTAAATGCCCATTGGAAAGAAATTTAGGTGGATGAAGCCATGCACAAAGAACAGTAGCACTGTCTTGCAACAACACCTAAGACGCACTTGGTGTTTATGGCTGGGACACCGCATAAACTATTTGTGAAACAGCTGTGTAACCTGGCAGGGCGGAGAGGCTGCTTTGAAGCCATCCTCGTACTTCTTTTTAATTATTCTTAGAAGTGATTGAGTGATTTCTCTCTTTCCTCACTTCCTCAGGATAAAATGTAGTTTCCCGAAGCGATCGGTCCAGTTAATTCAACATTTACAGATTGATAAGGACTGTACTATCTTTGGTAATCTGATGACACACGCTTCTACATTTCCTCCTCTTTTTGACTTAGATGCCAGATTTATCTAGTGCCTAGAAGAAACGAGGAACTGGGTGAGAGCCAGCTGGCTGGAATCCAGTCGGAAAGGTGAAGGTGATGTTGACTGGAAGAGCAGAATGCTTTGAGGACTTGATGAAATTCAGACACTTTATTTTGTAAGGGTATCTTTTTAAATATAGCATCCTCGGTTTCTGTGCAAGGGTTTGTGTAGATTATTTATATTATAAATAGATAGTGTATGTATTATAAATAGATAATGTATATTATCTATTACACATAACGAGAGGCTACACCAAGAAATGGAATGGGCTCCTTTTAGCGAAAGATGCCAATGAATTTCTTGGACAAAATTAAAATTTGATGAATATGTGTGCATGGTAAGAGGGATGGATTGCTTCTGACATTTGCTTTACTAGAGACAACCTGTCACATTCTTTCGGTGATCTGTTCCTCCAGAACTTGTTTTCCCAAAGGAACAACGTCTTTAGTACAACATTGGAGGTAGAACTGTTTAGTTACTGGAAGTGTATCCTGGAATTCATTCGTTGTAGAAATACAGGTAATGAGGACCATGATACTTTCAGTATTTTTTTCCAGGTCTTTGCACCTGGGTTGTAAGTTGATGGCCCGTTAGAAACAGCACCAGAAACGTAAAATTTATGTTGGAGATTTCAAACTGTCCAAACTAAAGCTTATAAAACCACTTTATTACTGCTACATATACGGTTGTATATATCGCAGTTAATGTAAAATTTGGAGTTATGAGACAACGGCAGGTAGATCTCTACTGCTTGTGAATAGATTGACAAGCCAGAGATGCGGATTCTTCGGTGTCCCTGGACAGGTTATTTCCCATGTATTGGGGCTGGATGGCATTTTTGGCAATGCATTTTGAGAAATCCCTTTTCCAGAAATTCCTTCTCGTCACCAAACTGCCGGCTTAGGCGGGGGTTTCAGACAGCGGAGGCGCTTCAGGAGGTCGATCCTGGTTTCCAGGGCTCCCTTGTCCCCTCAGCACCCCACCCCTGCTCTCCTCCCTCAGACAGACGCCGGGGCAAACCCCGCGGCTCCCGCAGGCCTCAGAGGGGCCGGGGCTGAGGCAGGGCCAGGCCATGGAGGCCCGGCCCGGCCCCACCTGTGGCAGGCGGCTCCTGGCGGCCATGCCCGGCCCTCCTTCACCCTCCCCGGCTTCTCCCCACCACAACGTGCCCCGAAGCCCGCTCAGCCCCGGGGCTCCACCCGCCCTCTCCTCCCCTCATGTCGGTCCTCGCGGCTCGCGTTGGCTCCTCCTTTCTGAATTTATTTATTTATTTAAATCGCGTCCATTTTATTTATTTATTTTTTAATTTTTAAAAATTCCACCTCCTCCACCACCCTTACAAATTAATTAAATAAATAAATAACGACCGGCCGCTCCCTCCCTCCCTCTCTCCCTCCCTCCTTCCCCGGCCCCTCGCCGCCGCCCAGCAGCCGCTAGGGGCGGCAGCCGGGCCGGGCGCTGCTCAGGTGGTGGCGGTGGCGGAGGCGGAGGCGGTGGCAGCGGCGGGGGCGATGCGGGGCCCCCTCCCGTGACTCCGGCTCCTCCGCCATGCCATGGGTTAGGCGGCCTCCATCCCGGCGGCGGCAGCGGCACGAAGAAGCGGCGGCGGGGCTCGGCCGGGGCGAGGAGGAATTATGAGCCGCGGCTTCCCCCGCTGCGCTCCCCGGGGCGCCGGGGCTCCGCGCTCACCCCGAGCCCCCCCGGCAGCAGCAGCGGCGGCGGCGGCGGCCTCCGAGCCCCGTCTCCCGGCTCGGTGCTCGGGATAAGCCCCGCTCGCAGCGCTCCGGGCTCAGCCTTGCCCCTCTGTCTCCTTCCTCCTCCTCCTCCTCCTCCTCCTCCTCCTCCCTCCATCCCCTCCCGCCCCGGGGAGCCGGCGGCGGGTGGGTGCGAGGTCGGGGCTCCCGGGCACCCCGCCCCTCGCCGTCGCTGTGCTGCCGGGCTATTGATTTGTATGTGCGGCTCCCGGCGCCGGCCGCTGCCGCTGGAGCCCGGGCAGCGCCTCCCGTAGCTTCCCCCCCTAAAGATGTCGGCTCCCGCCGGGCCCCGGGGCGGCCCTGCGCCTCCTCAGCCGCTGCCGGCGCCTCAGCCCGAGATGCCCGACCTCAGCCACCTCACGGAGGAGGAGCGGAAAATCATCCTGGCCGTCATGGACCGCCAGAAGAAGGAAGAGGAGAAGGAGCAATCCGTGCTCAAGTAAGGGCGGGCGCACCCCCCCCCCCTCTCCACCTTCTCCTTCCCTTCCTTCTCCCTTCCTCGCCCCGGCCCCGGGGGGTGGTGGCGGCGGCCGGGGGGCGCCGGGTGGGGACGGGGCCGGGCGGCGGCGGCTCCGCTCCCCCCCCTCCGGCCCCGGCGGGGGCACGGCGCCCAACATGGCCGCACAGGTGCCGTCCTGGAGGGAGGGAAGGAAGGGGGGAGCCGGGGGGAGGTGGGTCGAGGCGGCGGGCTTGGCGCCGCCGGAGGGGGGCGGATCGGCGGCGGCGAGCTCCGTGCCGGGGCCCCGGCGAGCTGCGGGCGGTCAGCGTTGGCCCTGCCCGCTGCCCGGGGCCTGCGCTCCGGCCGCCTCCCCGGGTGGGTTTGCAGCGCCGCCATCTTCCTCCGGCAGCGCGCCCGCCCCGCTGCGCCTCACAGGAGGGGGACCAGGGGGCACCGGCACCGGCACCCGGCGGCCTTCAGCACCCGGAGCTGTCCGCACAGCCCCGCGGCAGCGCCTGGGAGCCGCCCCGGAGCGGCGCTGCCTCAGCCGGCACCGCCGGCACCGCTCCCCTCCCCTCAGCGCCTCCCCCCTCAGCTCCCCGAAAACCGGTCCCGGGAAGCCGCCCCCCGAGCCTGGCGGCGCTGCCGCTGCTGTCACCGTGATAAAAACTTCCCCTTGCCGCCCGTCTGGCCGTGAGGTGCGCTCCTGAAGCACCCGGGGCGGCTCGCTGAGGTGTGTGGAGAGCGGTGGTGCGGTGTGAGCACGGGGAGTGGAGTGCCCCGAGCAGCTCCCAGCCCGTGCTCCTCGCTTGGCTTGCTGCTGGGACGCTTTTGTTACAGAGCAGCCCAGATTCTTTCACGTTTCTAAACGGTGTGATGCAAAAATAAACACGCGTTTGTCTAAAATCTCTCCTCTCGTACACAATCCTTACCAAAGGGAAAGGAAAGTTACTGGAGTTGCACTGTAGGCACATAATGCTAGCACTACAGCTTCTAAGAAAGCTCCTGGCAGCTTCTGCGATCTCCATGCCTCCAGGATCAGTTTGGATGGTCAAGCTTAGAAATGAAAACCGACGCCTTCTCATTTCGTGACCAGTGAAAGTCGGCTTCAGTGAAACAGGGCAGTTCTCATTCGTGGTCTTCAGGAGCTCGGGACAAAAGGGAGGTCTTCATCACCGTCTGAAGACAAACTAAAAACTTCTCGTGAGGTTTAGGCTCTGGTGGTGCCTCACTGAAGTTTTCTCTTGAGTTCTGGGTGAGCTGTGAGGGGAATGGGATGGCAATGAGTTTATACACAAAGGCTAGCCTGACACAGGCTTTCTAATGAAAATGCTGGTGTCAGTGGAGTTTGGAGAGATGGCCCACAATATTTTATAGGATACCGAGATCTGGTGTCAGATGAATATCTCACCGGTTTAATTTTTCTTAAAGCAAAGCGGTTCCTTGAACCGTCAGATACATCTGTATTCTGAAAATACCAACAGCTTTGTTAAGCACAACCCCTCACCAGTCACACAAGAGCGTGGTCCGCATTTTTAGGTAGGTATTACTGAGCTTAATTCTCTTGACAAACGTTTTCCTTCTGTCAAGAGAAGAGAAAGAAGAAAGGAAAAAAATCAACAACCCTGCATTTATATGAATGAACTGCTGTTATTGCATATAGATAAATATAGAGCTAAATCCTGCAGTCTTTGTTCAAGTGTAATTCTCCTCGAAGGCAAGCTCCCTTTGAAGTGGAAGGTATTTTTGACTGACTAAGCAATAAAATTGTGTCATTTCATTCCACGGAGGAATATGGGAGGATAAAAAAAGATGCTGGAAACAAGAGTTGACACTTAGAGATATTAGCACAAGAACTGTTCAAATACTGTAGAGAGGGACAAGCATGGATTTCCTCTAAATTTTAGATAATTTATGGTGATTGAGTGTCAGTATGAATGGCTAGTCCCTGGGCTCTGCTTCCTTTCTGCGTTCTATTTCTATTTTGTGCTCTTCAAATTCTTATGCTGTGCCCATCACTGTGGTATTTGAGCATCTTCCAAAAGTGCACTAAGTAGCGTGACTCACATCTGTAATGTGGACTATTTTTTTTTTTTTTCTTTCACTCCCTGGGGTAAATATGTGTGGATTTAAAATAGATGCATAACTTCTTTTCCTTCTGCTTGTTTTACTCTTTTTTGGGGAAAGGAAATGCAGATGGTATTGAGTTGTAATCTGTAGCAACTAATAGTGATCAGGTCAGCATGAATTCCTGCCAGGATTTGCTGGAACATGATGGCGTGTAAAACTGAAGCTTTCCAGATTTGCTCTTTCCTTTGGCCTGGTTTGCTCTGTGAAATATGCCTAGCTGCAGTTATGCTCCGTGTTCCTGTGGTGGAGCTTCCGCTCCTAAAGGAGGACAGGCAGCAAACTGCTGCTTTGACTGTCTCTCCTTTGGATTTTTTGGGTCCCTGGGAATGCATCTTGAATGTCCTGTGCTAGGAAGGTGCCTTTTTTGGCAAGGTTACCGTACATGTGTTTTGCGTAGTGTTTAATATGCCTAATGCATGGCACTCGGAGAAGTGAGTTCACTCAGAAGAAAGCACACTGGGTGTAAGTCCTTCTGTTTCAGGAATATTTACATATTTTCAACTTCTGGCATTGTGGGTGTTTTAATTTCTTGGATCCCACACAATGTTTGATGATGACTTTTCCTGTATGTTACACACATCCTTCCTCTCCCAATTTCTAATTTTTTTTGTGTATAAACTTTCTAAGGGGTTTTAGATAGTACTGTTTCCTATATATGGATTGATTTATGGGATCCATCATATGCTTTTTTGCTTTACATTTGTGCTTTTATGTCAAGAAAATGACTTGAGAGGTTGCACACAGGAAAAGAAACATTTGTAGAAGATGCAAGGGTGCTGACATTATTTGTAAAGACAAGGTTTCAGCCTGCGTGGTGTGCATAAACACTTACCTGTTTGTAGTATTGTGAGTTTCCAGGTTCTTCTAAGCTATTTGAGCTATTCTGAAAGCAAGATGAAATGCTATCCTAGTGAAGTCTGGCTCACAGCTCTGAAAACACAGGCATTTCAGCTTCCCAAAGGTATGGACAGTTTGGCCCAGTAGAAGGCAAGCTTACCCAAGAGAAATTCCTTTTTGAAATCATCAAGCATTTCATATATTCGCAAGGTACCACTCAAGTTTACCCTAGAAGATCTCACTCTGTGTGCATGTGAGTGAAATCAAGTGGCATTGCCACCACTTTTATGGAGGGAGAGAGGACGGATGGGCACAGAGTGGGCTAGATGGAGAAGGGTGGCTCTCTATCAGCCACCCCAGCAGGCCCACAGTTACCTGTAGGAAGGTACAGGTGGCTGTGCACTTGCATGTGCTCAGTTGCTCCATGTCTGCAGTTGTACAGCCACGGTAAGAAATGACTGAAATAAAACCCATGACAAGGACACCACAAAGAAGCTGGGCTCTGTAGGCTCTGTATGGCGCTGTGGGTGAGCGGGGTGTGGGGCAGGACACCGGGCCTGGGACAGAGGAGGCAACAGACTGATGGCTGAAAGTCACAGTAAATACCTCCCATGGCTATCATAGTGCTTTATGAATAATTATCCTGCTTTATGAGTAATCAGCCCTGATTTACACCGCTTTAAAAGGATTGTGTGTTTAGGATTTGGATTTGGGGCTGGAGGGATGACAGGTGTAGGTGATGAATACATGTGTGTGTATATATATATATATATATATATATACATATATATATATACATATATATATATATATTTTTTTTTTCCCACAATAGAGATGTGTATATGGGAAATTTCAAAGTTTATAGGGTAATGCAAGAAGATTCACTTCTGGCTATATAGTAAACTAGGACTCCAGGCAACATGAGCTGTGTAAGTTATGCTCTCATACCTTCTCACGGAGTTTTGTCTAAATTTAGGGTGCTGATCAGAGTAGGCCATGGTTACACCACTTACTATGTTGCTTTTATTTCTACTTTTTTATAAAAGAAAGTATGATCAGGGTGACTTTAATAACTTTATGCAGTGTGAGGTAAGCGGTAATGGAAGTTGTAAGAACAGGTGTAGTTGAGGAAGGACACAAATCCCCTTCTGTCTCCTTCTGTTCCCCTTTGCCTTCCCTTTTCCCTTTCTTCTACCTCATTCTCTGCTCTCCTATAATTTTCTTCTCCCCTTTCTTTCATTTTACACATTTGTGCTGCCTCTTTGGCCTCTCAAAATTACCATTATTGGTTATTCCTCTCTCTTGCCACATGGTTAGACATGTCATATCGTAGGTAATACCTGTCAGGATGCTGTGACTTCTACCACTTGCTCTTGAAGAAGCCCCAGTGTTTATGATTGCTGTGTAAAGCTGCTAGCACACTTTGGGGCACTGTCTGCAAATAACAGCAGTGGTACTTCCTCTTAGTGACTAAGCAGAATGCATTTGGAGATTATACAGACTGGCAGTAGCACTAATTACTGGGTTTGCTAATGTTAATGTTGAGTAAAATTTTGGAAGATTGCAGTAGTGCCAATGTTGTTCCAGCATTCAGAAAGTGCACGCAGGATGGCTTGGATGTAGAAAGGCCTAACATCATATGGGATCGAAAAACAGAAAAGCTGATACAGGATTTGGTTAACAAGGAAACCAAAAAGGAGGTATTTAACACCAGCTGATGTGTGCTCTCTGAAAAATACACCTTGTGAAATAAATACACTGTTACACTTGTTTGAAACCAAAAGACAATTTCCAATCTTGCATTTTAAAGGCACGAGTGTAGACCGTACTTCAAGTGCTGGGACTGTATCCTGGAAAAGTGGTGACCGGGTGAAATGCAGTGGTCTCTGGACGTCAGGGCAATGAATGGTTCTTTCTGGATTTTGTCTGCCTGCATCTATGAGCTGGATAACTTCTAAATAATGGGGAATGTTAAACAATTGATTTTTCCATTGAAACAACAGCTTAATTAGTATGTATATTGTAAGCACCAA